TATTGTGTGAAAATTCTCGATTTTATTTTTTACATTTTTAACTTTATAATGCTATGACATATTGAAAAGTATATGGATCAATATAATTTTTTTTTTATAGATGCATGATGTCTTTACCTATTAGTTGATATATTTTTTTTATATATGTGACCCTTTACTTGCCCACAGGGGGGGACTTAAAATGACAATTTTTTCACAAAAAATTAATTTTTTCAACTTAATTTTTTTAAGTGTTCCGGAAAGTCTGACACTTTTATATATATCTTAAATTAAAGTTAATGTAATGTAATTTATTATGCAAAAAAAAATTTCGGACTTTATTTTATCTTCACGGTGAAAATGGCTACCGAATGCTATTTTTGTGTGAAAATTCTCGATTTTATTTTTTACATTTTTAACTTTATAATGCTATGACATATTGAAAAGTGTATGGATCAACATTATTTTNAACACAATTTTTTTATGAGAAATAATATTTTTTAATAATCCCTTTTTCATTCGACATACTTTATCTGAATCAGGATATTAATAACAAACTAGCAGATCATGTTGCTTTTGGAATAATACACCAATTTTTTAAAATTAAACACTATCTAAAGATTTGCATCGAGGCATTTTTTTTGATAGTGATTTTAATTAGTGATGGGCATTTTCGAATATTTTAAACTATCGAATAGTATTCGATAGTTTTTGAAAACTATCGAATAACTATTCGAATAGTTTTTATACAACCGAATAGTTTATTTTTAGCATAAACTATTGAATAGTTTATTTTTGGCATAAACTATTCGAATAGACTATTCGGTAGCCCGAATGATTTTAAAAAATATTCGATTAGTTTTACCTAAAATTTGTATTAAGTATACTTAATTATAATAAGAAGATAATTAATGAATACTTATAAATAGATTATTATACAATTAATAATAGTAAAAATTAGTGATGGGCATTTTCAAATATTTTAAACTAACGTATAACTATTCAAATTGTGTTTATACAACCGAATAGTTTATTTTTAGCATAAACTATCGAATAGTTTTAAAAACTATTCGAATAGACTATCAAATAGTTTAGAAACTATTCGAATATATTGTGTAACTATCGAATATTTTTTGAATGACTATCGAATAGTTCGATAGTTTCTATTCGATATTTCCCATCACTAATTTTAATCATTGTCAGATATCATTATA